GCCCTGTAACCGATGCTATGGGACGGTTAATGTTATTATAAACATAATAACCGAAGTCACGGTTAACCGAAAATTGGTTAACCGTTATGCGGTTAACCAACCGTGCCCACTCCTACGGTCAACTGGTCAACGCATGGAAGTATTGGTGCATCTTAGAGCTCTATATAAAGATTGGACACATCACATATATGAGTAAAAAACAGACAATTGTTTTGAATTACTCGTCACTCAAAATTGTCATATACATTTAGTTGTATTGAATTGAAGAAACGAACACATAATTGTGTTTAAGCTCGGGAAGAGCTGAGCATCCAAAAACGGAATCTTATGAGCGATGAGTGCGGGTGCTGAAATGAGTCCTTGGGGTTGACCACGGTTCAGTATCATCATCCAACGGCGGCGGAGGGTTCATAATCTCCGCACACCCTTCCGGCAACACAGACTGAATCCTGATCGTCGGTTTCCTCGCCGGCAGAATCGGGACCGGAGCTTCCCCCTTCAGCATCCTCGCCGCTTCCCTCGCCGTCGGCCTCTTCTCATGGTCCGGGTGGACGCACCCCAGACCCACCATAACCACCCGGCCCATCTCCTCCCTGTCAAACCGACCCGCCAGTCTCGGATCCGCCGCCTCCGTGACCCGACTCCTTTCCCACAAATCCCACACCCAGTCCGTAATCACCACCCCATTCTCGTCCACCGGCCGCCTCCCGGACGCCACCTCCAGCACCACCACGCCGAAGCTGTACACGTCGGTTTTCACCGTCGGGACGCCGGAAAAGGCGTACTCCGGGGCTATGTACCCCATCGTACCCGCCGGAACTGTGCTGTCCCTTGCCCTGCACTTGTCAAACACCTCCGCCAGACCAAAATCCCCAAGCTTGGCATTGAAATCGGAATCCAGCATTATATTACACGATTTCACGTCCCGGTGGATGATCTGGCTCTCACATTCTTCATGAAGATACACAAGAGCAGAGGCGACCCCATGGATGACATTCATCCTTCTCTCCCAGGTCAGAAAGCCAGGAGCTGAATTGGTAAACAAGAGTTTGTCTAAACTTCCATTAGCCATAAACTCGTAAACTAAAACCAGTTCATTCCTCTCACAACACCATCCCTGTAACTGAATCAGGTTCTTGTGCCTTAAGCATCCCACCATTGATGCAAACTCTGTGTAGAAGGGAATGTGAGAAGGGTAAATTCTATTATTACCGTGGGTGAATCTTTTAACCGCGACAGGTCCGCGAGCGGGGATCGACCCTTCGTACACAACAGCTGATGCTCCTTCCCCAACTATTCTCTCCTCATTGAACCCTTCTGTGGCTAATTTTATTTCTTCAAGAGACAATCTTTGGGGCACTCTGTTTCCCTGAAATCTGCACATCTGCACTTGGGTTCCTTCTCTTGTGTTTCTTTTCCTCCTTTTCAGGCCGACCCAGACAAGTATGGCAATAGCAGACACCAAAATTACAGCTGCAGATGATAAACCTGCGTAAGAGAGTGGTGATTTGAAGAATTTCTTTTTCTTGAGTGGGTTTGAACCATGAGGGTCGGGAAGGCGAGGGAAGCACATCAAGCAATCGGATTCATCGAATGTGTTCATGGGTTCAGACGTGGAGGAAGCGAGGAAATCAAAGGTCTTGAATTTCCAGTGCTGGATTGAATGAACTGCGGATGAGCCTTTCCCGTTGGAAGCGGTGAAGCCGATGTGCATGTATTCCTTGAATTCATGGGAAAGGTCAATCTGGCATTCCAGAATCGGGTCTGTTGGCCTGATTTCAGAGTTATACCCGACCCATATCCTCATCACCTTTTCTTGATCTATGTATTGCACCCAGGCCGTCATCTCTTTCCCACTTCTCAAATCCACCCCTCGCGGAGCCATATCAACAGAGGCCAGAGATTTGACGCTGTTGACATCAACCCCAATGTGGTTATCATTCAGGTCCTCAAGAAAAGGGTCGAAACTGGTGTCAAATTCCACCGCCAAGAAAGAGTCTTGAGAGCTCGGGAGGCCCATCAATCCACCGGAGCGGCTGAACGAGTTGGGATCGGAGGTGATCAACAGTGCAAGGCCATCGCCGAAGGAACAAGAAGGGGTGATGGTGAAAGAGAAGCTGCAGTAAAAAGAAACCGCGGAATTCGTCACAGCATCAAGAAACCGAATAGGGGTTGCGTAGAAAGCTCTGCCATAGCCGGAAAAAGAGGCGTCCGGCGGTGTGCTGCAGTTTTCGCCGTGGGTGAGAGTGACGGAGCAGTCGGAGAAGTAGGCGTCGCCCATTAGTGTGATGTTATTGGTATCAGAGGGCAAGAGTGTGTCACTGGTTGTGAACATTGCAGGCGAGGTGAAGATGTAAGAGATGAAGCCTAGTAGAACCCAGAAGGTGAGATTGAAGGTAGATGACGGCATTGTTGACGGTTCTGCAGTGACAGAAAAATGGGTGTGGATTAGTGAGGGTTTTATCAAAAATCGAAATCTTGATTCTAACTTGGCTGTTAGTACAGAATCTTGATCTTCCGTTGCCTGGTATTTTGGATGAGAAGGGTAGGAAAGAAAATGTGCGGAAGAAACATAAACCGCATTTAGAAGGATGTATAATTCTAGGGGTTTTTATTTGAATATTACTAATTTTGAGCCAATTATCAAAAAAGTGATCACTTTTAAAAAGGGGCAAAAAAGTGATCAAAAGGTCATATATGTGGTATTAGAAAACAAGATGTCACTGCAAAAAATTTATGTCACTGTTCGTTTTATTACACCGCCACAGTGACACCGCCGGCGGCCATAGTGACATCGCTGCCGGCCATAGTGACACCGTTGCCGGCCATAGTGGCACCGCCACAATTACATCACCAGCGACCGTAGTGACACTACCACCGGTCATAGTGACACCGCCGCCGGTCATAGTGACACCGCCACAGTTACATCACCGGCGGCCGCAGTGACACCGCCACCAGCCATAGTGACATCGCTGCAGTTACACCGGCGACCACAGTGACGCCGCCACATAAACGCATCATTCTCATTCTCCAATGACACCACCACAGCCCCAGCCCTCAGTCGTCACAACCACCGACCACCGCTGAATCTCCGATGACCATCCCCTAGCCCTACATACCAACTCGCCAGCCCCCAACCCCACTCCCGGTCCCCCTCCCCTGCTCCCTGCGCCGCCCCTGTCCTCCCCTAGGCCTCTCTCCTACAAGTTCGCCAGAAATCTTAGCCATGGCACCACTCTTCCACCACAGAACCCTCATCTCACCCCCACCAACTCGCCATCCACCGAGATGGCAGATCCGGCACAGGCAGCCACAAATCGCAGCCGTTGTCCATCAAAGACGGCAGATCCAGAACCGACGGTCCTAAATCGGAGTTGTCGTTCATCAAGGCCGCGGATCGATCACCGGTGGCCATCTGGGATGACGGAGAGGCTAGCCAAGGCGCGGCAATCGACCATCGACCAAAAAGAAATGAGAAGAAGAAGAAGAGAACGGCGGCGGAGCGGCGGAGATTGGAGAGCTATGGCGGCGGAGCGGCGGAGATTGGAGAGCTATGGTGGCGGAGCGGCGGAGATTGGAGAGCTATGGCGGCGGAGCGGCGGAGCGGCGGAGATTGGAGAGCTATGGCGGCGGAGGCTTTGTCATTGGAGGCGTGATTGAAGGTTGAAAGAGAGTCTACAGTCAAGTATGGGCGGCTTCATTGAACGTTGGGAGATGCTTCGTATTCTTGGGGAGAGGAAAAGGTCTGGGCCGCATATCGGGAGAGGAAAAGGGTTGGGCAGCTTAGATTTAGTAACTTTTTGGCAATTCTAAAAATTAGTCATATTTTGGTCTATTAAAACCCCACAAGTAATATTCAGGCCATTCTTTCATAATTCTATGGAAGTGACATAAATCATAATTTTAAAATTTTGAGAAAATTACTTAATTAATATTTCAATTCGTAATAATTAATTAATTCATCAATAATTTTTTTTAAATTAAATATAACAATGCTGGAAGTCCATAATGTCACACGTAGTAACTTCTCTCTAGAGTTTCGCCGCTAGAGCTGTACATCCGCTATCGACTTGTGTCGAGAAGTGGGGCCGATTTCGGCTAATTGTTTTTTTTGTGATAAGTGCTTCGGGAGGAGTGACAGCACATGAGGTTGCGAAGCAGTAGTTTCGATCGTTCCGGCAGTATAGTGGCCATATTGGGGCGATTTGTCAAGCACAGTTTTCTGGTGAGGGAGTAGGCGGAGGTTCGGTTTTAACCAGAGGGTCCGATCGGTGGTCAAGGGGAATCAGGGGATGTATGGAAAAGATTGTGGACCAGTAAAAGAAGATGGCGATAGGAGCAGAAGACGAAGAGCTGGATCTGGATGAAACCGAAATCGATGATGTTCCGGTGGAGGAGAATTTATTTATTTAAACCGAAACCGAAATTATTTTTTTTGCTTCTATTTATCTTTTTTTTTTCGTTCTTTTATTTATCTTGATAGTCTGCTTTATTTTGATTATTTCCAACTCTTTATTTTATTCTTTATTTTATTTAGTCACCGAAAAGTTTTATAAACACGACAATATAGGAGTAAATAGGTTTTGAAATTCTAAAATATGACTGTTATGTTTTCCTCCGAAATAAGATTTACATGACAATATATACTGCCATCTTGAAATCATTACTGCCAAACAGTTAATAGTCTTTAACATGACAATATTTATTGTTATTAATGATTCTATTTTTATAATGATTCATATTTCGGTATTTCGGGAATTAAAACATACAGAGTAACAATCTAATGTACATGTAAGATGTTGATTCCTTTGGAGATTGTCTTTATTTTCTTCTTATTCTAGCCTGCCCCCTCAGTGGAAAAACTCATTTGCTTTGTTATTAAAATATTTAGACGCTTGGTAATTTCCTTGTTTTAATCTCTCTCGAGTCTCTTCAAAAAAAAAAAAAAATCTCTCTCGAGTCCTTCTCTAGAATGTTAAAAAAACAACCCAATACAATACTGAAAAACGTACTGATATGTTTCATATAATATGGGATAGTCTGATAATCTAAAGTTGAATACAAATCTGTTGAAAATGATACACATTAAACAAGCATCTCTTTGACAACTAGATATTAAAAATATCGACCTAATATAATAAGTAAAAAGACTATGGAACTTACACCTAAAATAATAAAAACATGTTTTTCAAAACTACAAAGTAATAAAGGAAAAGTCATGTTTGCTGATGCAGAAAGAATAAACTCTGTAACAGTTAATATTCCTCGCCCAGCTCTTTCTTCCCTTTGATGGAACCTGAATGGAAGTGAGCCTAGTAGTCCTTTGGCCATAGAATTGGTTATATATGTTATCACAAGCAAGCCAACTGCCACTTTAGAACTCTTTGAGCTCAAGTGGTGCACATCTTTGGCAAAAATGGCACAGAATGAAAACTGCAACAAGAATAATAAAAGTATACAATAAAACTACCAGGTGAAGTAAGAAAATATAATTCTAGGAAAATTTGTTTGGAATGGAGGGAGGAGTAAAAAAGTGCTAATGATAATAGACTAGTATGAAGAATTAACAATACCTGTGAGATAGAGAGGGCGAATACTGAAATCAAGGCCATCTTCCTTGCTCCGAAACGATCAACAATAAGTGGCACACCGACTAAGCTAGTTAACATAACTAGGAAACTACCTATAAGGGAAGCTGCCACTGTTGGCTTTACCAACAATCCAATGGACTCCAGAACAAAAGGACCATGAAAAACAAATGGACCTAAAAAAAGTAACTGAGAAGACAACAAAAAATACCACTGGGACTTAAAGATATGTTTATGTCGACCTCGCAACATATGGAGTGGCCTGACATAATCTCGAACTCCTCCTACACCAATTAAAAGGGGAAGACAAGCAAGACCTATAAAACATATAAGAGCAATCAAAATAAATATGATTGCTCTCCATGAATCGATGAAGAAACCCCCCAGATGAGTTACCCATGTCAAAAGCAAGGCTAACTCTCTCGCTTTCACCCCGAGCTGCCATCTGAATAGGAATTGCAGGGATAGCCTACAAAATTTGTTTGCAAATAATTAGGCAGTGCAAACTTTAATTAACGGTTACAAGAACATATGTGGTAATTAACATCAGAGTGTATTTACCTGCCGAATGATCCCAAAGCCTAGTGCAATGAGATGAATCATAACCATCACTAGGATGGAATTTCTAATATGCGCAATCAAAACTCCGGCAGAAAGTGAAATAAGGAGTCCAAGTGTTAGAGTCACTCTAGCCCCCCAACTAAAGTGGAGCTGCATTGGAACGAGTAGTCCAAATGCACTTGTAATGGGCATAGTAAAGAGTAATTAGCAGTAAAGGCTTAGCCTCATATGAGTGCTGCAGCCGTATTATATATTAATGAGTGGAGCAAAAGTAGCTCATTAGTTACAAGAGATAATTACACCAGGGAGATAAGATTACATTGAGATAAATACAAGTATGGATAAATACAAAGATTAACAATAATAATATTAATTAATGTATATTCTATCATGCCCCCGCAAGCGAGAGTGGTCCTGGAAGGATCCCGAGCTTGGAACGATGAGATAAAAACTGGTGACGAGCAACAGGTTTGGTGAGAGAGTCCGCGAGTTGCTCTTTGGTAGAAATATGTTGAACACAAAGTTGACCACGAGCTAGTTGCTCTCGTACAAAATGAAAATCAATAGCCACATGTTTCATCCTAGAATGAAAAACTGGATTAGCACACACATAAGTAGCACTAATGTTGTCACAGAAAATGGTAGGAGGCCGAGGGAGTGAGATCCGAAGTTCACTCAAGAGATGGCGGATCCAGGTGAGTTCAGCTGAGGTGGATGCAATAGCACGATATTCGGCTTCTGTGGATGAACGAGCAACTGTTGGCTGTTTTTTAGAGCTCCAGCTGATAGGATTTTTTCCAATGAAAACAATATATGCCGAGGTAGAGTGACGAGTATCACGATCACCAGCCCAGTCGGCATCGGCATAAGCATGAAGTGAGAAGGGAGTGTGAGCCGACATAAAAGTTCCATAATGAGGTGTACCTTTAAGATAACGGAGGACCCGTTTGACAGCAAGCCAATGATGAGATGATGGGCAATGCATGAACTGAGCAAGTTTATTGACAACAAATCCAATATCAGGCCGAGTGAAGGATAAATATTGCAAGGCACCAATAACACTGCGATATTCGGTGGCATCGTGAGACGGAGTACCATCATGGAGAATGAGAGTCTCATTAGGTGAAATAGGAGTAGGAACCGGATGAGCATCCTGCATATGAGTGCGGGTAAGGAGATCCCGAATATACTTGTGTTGAGTAAGGAGAAGGCCTTGCGGTGTACGAGTAGCTTCGAGGCCCAAAAAATAAGATAGAGGGCCAAGATCTTTCAGTGAAAACCGTGCCGCAAGAGAAGCAATGAAGGACTGTAAGGCCGAGTCTCTGTTGGCAGTTATAACAATGTCGTCTACATAGACGAGGAGAAGTATAACAGAATCGTGAGTATGACGATAGAAAAGTGAAGCATCACTTTTACTGTTTTTGAATCCAGAATGAAGGAGATAAGACCGGAGCTCACAATACCATGCTCGAGGTGCCTGACGAAGACCATATAATGCCTTATGAAGAAGACAAACATGAGTAGGATTAGCAGGATCAACAAAACCCTGAGGTTGCTGCATATAAACCTTGTCAGATAGGGAGCCCTGTAAAAAAGCATTATTGACATCAAGTTGGCGAATAGGCCAACTGTGTAAAATAGCAATAGTGAGAATAATGCGCACAGTGGCGGGTTTTACAACCGGACTGAAAGTATCAGTGAAATCAACCCCCGGACGTTGATGAAAGCCCTTAGCAACCAAACGAGCTTTGTAACGAGCAATAGAACCATCCGGATGTTGTTTCACCCGATATACCCATTTACATCCAATAATATTTTGTGTGGGAGAGGGAGGAACAAGAGACCATGTACAATTTTTTTTAAGGGCATGGAACTCGTCTAACATAGCCTGGCGCCACTCTGGATAAGAATTAGCTTGTTTAAATGTAGTGGGGGCAATGGGAAGACCAGAAGTGAGGAGGGTGTGGAGAGCATATTTTGGGTTTGGTTTAAAGATATTATTTTTTGAGCGAGTGATACGAGGCAGATTAGAGGAATTGGGAATTGTGGGGGGAGGAGAATTATTAGTGGGTTGCATGGATGGCATGGAAAGTGTAGTTTCTGGAGGAGATAAATTGTTATGGGGGGGCGTAGGAGTAGGACAGGCTTGAGAGTCTGACAAGATATTTGAGGAGGAGGGGTGTGAATGATTAGTATTAATGGAAGGAAGAATAAAGTGAGGAGGAATGTTGGGAGTTGGGTTCGTATGGTCTGGTGTGGAAGCAGAGTGTTGATCTATGTGAAAAAAAGTGGTCAGAAGAGTGGGTGGGGGGTTGGATTTTGGAATAGTTTTGGTAAAAGGAAATTGATCCTCAACAAACACAACATGCCGTGATATATATAGTTTATTCTGACTAGTATCAAGACATAGGTGGGCATAGTGAGTAGTGGAAAAACCAAGATAAACACATGGACGAGATCGGGGTTGTAATTTGTTTATGGCATAGGGACGAAGCCAAGGGTAACATAAACAACCAAAAGCTTTGAGAGATTCATATTTTGGTATGTCACCAAATAATTTTTGATAGGGGGTATAACCATCTAGAAGAGGGGTTGGGAGACGGTTAATAAGATAAGTGGCATATTGAAATGCATAGGGCCAAAAACGTAGGGGAACAGAGGCATGGAAAAGTAAAGTAAGGGCAGTTTCAACAACATGACGATGTTTTCGTTCAGCAGAACCAACATGTTGAGGGGTGTATGGAGGAGACACAAGATGTTGTATACCATGATGAGCGAGAATCGGAGCAAGAGCAGTATATTCACCTCCACCATCAGTATATAAGGTTTTGATATTAATTCCAAAATAATTGGCAATGAGGGCACGAAATTTATTGAACACAAGAAATACATCAGACTTATTTTTTATGGGAAACAGCCATGAATACTTGGTGTAATAATCAACGAAAATAACATAAAATCGTGATTTATTATAACCAAGAATAGGGGACGGACCCCATACATCTGAATAAATATACTGAAAGGGACTAGTACAATTTATTGAAGATTTTTTAAATGGTAACTTGTGACTCTTGGCTTGGAGACATGAATTGCAAACTGATTTTGTTGGAGTGACTCCAGTTATTTTTTGTTGAGTAGAAGGTGAAGGATGACCGAGACGATGGTGCCATAGAGAGGAAGAAACAGTGTATGCCCGAGGAGAAAGACTGGACCAGTTGTAAAGATTTTGACTACTCCGGCCGTGGGCCAAGGATGCCCCCGTGGTTAGATCCTTCACAACAAAAGAAGTAGGTGAGAATTCGATAGAAGCAATATTTTGCTTACAGAATTGATTAACAGAGATAAGATTACGACTAATGAGGGGAGCACACAAAACATTATTAAGTGTAAACTTTGAATCAGGTGAGCCAACAGTAGTGGAACCAATATGAGAAATTGGAATGGTCTTACCATTGCCAATAGTGACAGCATCGTTACCATTATAATCCGAGTGAACCTGGAGATTATTAAGATCAGAAGTAATATGGTGAGTGGCACCGGTGTCCAGAAGCCAACTGGGGGAAGAATCTGGATTGCCACTAGAGGTAACATGAGCACTAGGGGAATTATTTGGGAGAGCATAGACCCCAACAAAATAAACGTGTATGGGTTGACAAACTGGCAAAAGTTTGTCCCTGCTGCATAGACTGACTCATCATATTTGTTCTTGGACAACATTTGGACAAAGGATGGAATCTGGAGAAGTCCACCTAGAAGAAAGCAAGTGTTTAAAGATTTAGGGACAACAAGAAACAAGTGTAGAGATGAGTGTTATATAGAGATGATAACCAGAAGGTATGTAAGTTTTCAGAGGCGGCAAAGCGTAATGTGATTCCCCTTACATTTACTTTAACCAATGCTCCTATTACATACACACTTGTTGTCCAATGATCACCAATGATGGACTCAGAGATTGGTGAGAACGGGCATACAAGACACTTATCCATAGATTAACATAAATTATACGTAATACATGGCATTAACTTATAAATTTCAAATGTAATAAAATGGTAAAAAATAAGTTATTAACATAAATTATACTTTTGCAAAAAGAAAACATAAATTATATATACAGGGCATTTTATTACATACTACATTCCTTCTTTTTAAGTTACAACATTAGTGAATTTTACACTATGAACCTACTCTATATTGACTTATTTTTGAAAAATATTGTTAAATATTTTAAAGATCTGATTTGTTAATTGTTTTACTATTAAGGAATCAAATATATTACTCAGGGCCGGCCCTTGGGGGGAGTGAGCAGTCCGACCGCACCGGGCCCGAAAAAATGAAGGGCCCAAAAAAAAATTAGTATTAGTGTTATTAGTAGTCTAGTGCTCTGCATTTTTATTGGCTCAATTAATTAGCCCAGCAAAATTAAAAGTTTTAATTTAACACAAATTATGAGTATTTTTTACTATTATCATTTTTATTTATGTTTTATTTTTATTTGCGTAAGAAAGGAAGGCCCAAATTTTATTCTTGCACAGGGCCTCCATTTTCTCAGGACCGGCCCTGATATTACTCCCTCCGGTTTTTAATAAACTTCACACTTTCCTTTTTGGGACGGTCTAAAATAAACTTCACACTTCCTTATTTCCTTTTTTGGCAAAGAAATATACATCAAAACAGTGTCAAACAGTGCCAAACAGTGTCTCAGCAGTGCCAAACAGTGTCTCTACAGTGCCAAACAGTGTCAAACAGTGCCTCAACAGTGTACTCTACAGTAAAGTCAAATTTCTTTCCTTATTTTGTGTGAAGTCAAAGTGTGAAGATTAAATAAAACCGGAGGGAGTAACATTTTAAAAATATTTTTAAATTTCTCTCAATTGAAATATATATTTTGAAAATGTTGCATTATAAGTAGTTTTAAAAATATTTTTTGATGTAGCACACTAAACAATTCGTAATAAGATAGTCATCTTTCATCTTGTTGCGAAGATCTGCCTTGATAATATGCATCACGGAGAAGCTCTTTCAATGATGACTATTGCAACTGGTAACGCTAAAGCTAATTCAAATAGACGATATACCAAGTAAAAACAATTGTGAATTAGGCTCAGCATCACGAAGACCCTGAGGGTCTGTTTGCAACAACTTCTCCTTTTAAAAAAGTGCTTTTTTTAATGAAATGGGGAGAAGTGATTAAATAAAAGTTGATAGTGTTCGAGAAAAAAGTGATTTTGAAAAGTAAAAGTAGGTAGTGTTTAGTAAAATAAGTGCTTTTTGTATAATAGAAAAAGTAAAAGCACTTTTGACACGGAAGCAGAGAAAAATAAAAGTTATAGTGTTTGGGAAAATAAGTGCTTTTTTAAAGCCAAAAACTGAGAAATGCTTTTTTAAAAGGAGTTGCAAACCAACCCTCAATCATCTTTCTACGAACTTAACTAATAGTTTGTATGGTAAAAAATAATGCATTTGTTCTCATTTCATTTATTCACACGTGAAGTTGCTCTTCCAGGTCCATTCAATCAAGAAATGAAAATCGCATCAATATAACTCTACGAGGTTCAAGACATTGGAGAACTTATCTTTTGGATCAAGACATGCTAAACAAGTGACTAATTATGTATTTGACTCACTATTTGAAAAATCCTTATCTTTTATTTTAATTCAGCTCAAATTTAAATATTTTAAATTATTATTTTTAATTTATATAACCACGATGTTTTAGTATACTG